TTTTTGTGGCTGCTTGGGGCGGCCAAATCCCTGGAGCCGGCCCTGATTATACAGATGGGGAACTGAGGCACAGAGAAAAAGGGTATGGCTACACTTTGAGTTAGGGGCGTGATTCCCATCTCATGGAAACACTTACGCTAGCTGTCATTGAGCTATCCTGTTATGAACAGAATGCAGCTGTGGCTACCCCAAGTCCCTGCCTAGGATCTCGGAGAGGTACGTACTCGGTGGCTAGCCTGTCTCACAGTCATGGCTATATTCTATTCTCAGCTTCTGGCTCAATGAGAGCTAGCACAAGTATGTCTCCTCGAGCCATGAATCACACCCCCAGCTCCAAGTGTAGACCTACCCAGCCTAGGGGTATGTCTCCATTAGACACGCTACTCTGGTTCAGCTGCACCACTGCAGTGTAGACACTCACTACAGCAATGGAAGGGGTTCCTCCATTCATGTAGTAAAACCACCTCTCAGAGGCGGTAGTTAGACTGATAGAAGAATTCTTCCATTGACCTAGCAGTGTCTACACTGGGGCTTAGGTCAGCTTAATTATACGACACAGGGTGTGACATTTTTCATGGCCCTGAGAGATGGAGTTAAACTGACCTAACTTTGTAGTGTAGGACAGCCTTACGTGACTTCCTAGAATCCTAGAAGAATCCTAGAAGATCAGGGTTGGAAGGGACCTCAGGAGGTCATCTAGTCCAACCCCCTGCTCAAAGCAGGACCAATCCCCAGACAGATTTTTTGCCCCAGTTCCCTAAGTGGCCCCCTCAAGGATTGAACTCACAACCCTGGGTTTAGCAGGCCAATGCTCAAACCACTGAGCTATCCCTCCCTTGCCTAGGGGCACGCAGGATGTTTGTGACAGAGCAGAAATTGAACCCGGGTCTCCTACAGCCCCGAATAGCCGCCTAACTACTGCACCATCTTTCCTTTCTAAACCCATTTTTTTAAACTAGCGCAACATCACAGCTTTAATTAAACCAGCAGCACCCCGAGCATAGAAAAGCCCTACCACGGAGCTCAGTTCCGGAGACTCTAACTTGTGCAAAAAAATGTCAGCCAGCTCAAAACAATTTCCCATCAGAAAATGTGATTGTCAAAATCAAAATATGCCATGGGAAGATGTTGATTTTGACAAAATTGTTTGACTTTCCATCAGCAAAAAATAAACGAAACAAACATTTGGTTTTGAACAGACATTTCTTAAATGACAGGAAAAGAATCTTTTTTTTTTTTTAATGTCAATTCAAATCAAACTGTATTTTGGGAATGATGAATCATTTCATTTTAATTAACAATGTAGACATCGCTCGTTTTAACATTTCCAAATCAAAATATTTTGGAACCCTTTGTTCTGTGAAAACAGCCGATATTTTGACTTTTCCTCCTGATTTGGCATGAAAACAAATGTTAGAATATCAGACTTTCCCCTGGGGTACAAACTCCATTATTTGGCCACCTCTAATTCTAACACTAGACACTGTGTTTTTACAGCAGTTCTTTAGCATGCACCTGTCTCCTAAATAGACCTCAATGGGACACCCTTCTGCCTTGCAGCCCAGAATGTCATTTCTTTTTAGACACCTTAGTAATTTCTTTCTCTGCAGTATGTTATATAGTATAGGCAGATTCATCTGCGCCATGTAGGGCTCTCTGGGATATGCCACTCTTTCTGATCTAAAGCATATCACCTTCGTTTTATCTGTCCTCCAGATGAAAATTTAAATAAAGAAGTTGAATTGAAGACTCCTGAGGATCAAAAGCCCAATTAGCTCCCATGTGTTTGTCCCCAGGGCCAATCCCAGCTTCTCCCCTACTGTACAATTCCTAGTATGGTATCCAGCTTCAAAATATCCCTATCAATGAGCTTCCATCCCTTCCCTTTAGGGCAGCATTTCCCAAACTTTTGGAAGTTGAGCCTCCCTTCAGGAAGATGAAATCATTCTCTCCCTCCCCTCAAATCCTTCAGCACCACCTTGTGTTGTTAAAGGCCTACCCATCTTAATTCAGACATCTTTCATGCCTCTCCCCACCAAGACAGTCATTGAGATCATAGTCTGACCTTCGGTATGTCACAGCCCACCAACACCACCCAGCATCCACACACTAAACCCAACAACCGAAATAAGACTAATGGCATGCCCCAGATTTTTAATTTTCCCACCCTACTAAGAATTTCTATTTGAACCATTAACAAGTAAGGAAGACCTAGTTAAAATTAATTAATAAAGCCTGGTACAGGCATATATGGGAAATTTTCAATAGAGAAGTACAACAATCTGGATGAGGTGTGTTTTAAGACTATTGAAGGAATGATCTAACAAATTATAGCACTGACAGTTAATTCAAGGAAGTCACAGAGAACTGGGCTTGTAATGGAGGGTTGGAAAAGGGAAAAAAGTGATCCTGCCAATTACTTTCCTGTAAATTTAAATTCTACTTCTAATAAAATAATGGAACAAATATTAAGGGGTGAAAAATCACGAGACGTCTACAGGATAATGATCCAACCATGGAGTTTGTGAAGAAAAGATCTTGGCAGACAAACTTGCATTTTTAGTAAAGCATTTGACAACTTTTCTCATTACATTTTTTCTGCCAAAGTTCATTCGAAGTGGGAAATAGTCACTGAACTGGACAGAAAACTGCCTGAAGGACCATGAACAAAGGGTGCTGATAAATGGTCCTGTATGGGGTTGCAGGGCAACGTTTAGTGAATGTTGCATGTTTCAATGTTACATCTAGTCTTATTTAAGATCTTCATTAAATGATCCGGAAGAAGGAATGAACTGCACATTAATTAAATTTGCTCACAGTACTACAATGGGAAGTGTTGTGAATATTGGTGGGTAAAGAAATAATGCAAAGGGTCCTGGGGAAATTGAAAACATAAGTATGAGATAAAATGAAACTGAACTTGGAAAAAGACAGCTAAAACATGAGGAAAATAATCTGAAACACAGGCAATCAAATGGAATTGAAGCGCTGGGATGCAGAGATGGCTAAAAGAGATTTAGTGGGGATATTGGACAGCAAGTTAGACCAGCAGTGCAATATGGCAGCAAAACAGGCCTTTGTGAGGCATCAAATAACAAAGCCCAAAGGTGATTGTTTCTCTTTATATAGCTCTACTGCAACTGAACCCGGATTATGTGAGCTTGGGAACCTTATAACTAGAAAGATACTGATGAACTGGAAAAAGTTCAGAGAAGAGCAACAAAGATGGGGCTGGATGGACAGATTTACAAGGAAAGATTGAAAGAGCAAAATCTGTCTAGTTGGAACAACACAGAGGGACATGGTAACAGTCTGCAAATAGCTGAAGGGTGTAAGTATCCAGAAGGGTGACAAATTACTCAGGGTGGCTCAAGGGAGTAAAATTGGGAGTAATCAAGGAACAGATGGGAAAGTGTAAGTTAAGTACTAAGAAAGTCTCCCCAAGAGTGAGCGGTAGTGGTTGCAGAATTCTCTCCCATAGGAAGTGATGAAGGCCAGCCGCTTGGGACTTTTAAAGCTATGCTGGACAAAGCACTAAGCTACGTAGAGAACAATCCCGCATTGACAGCGGATGGATGGGAGGCACCCAGGGTCTTTTCCCTCGCTAGCTTCTGTAACTCTGTGGAACAGAGCTCCCTCTGTTATAATGTTCTCTGTGATATAAGGCCCCCAACACTCTTTTCCTTGCTGCCCTTCAACACCTCAGGGGCTTGGCTCCCAGAGATGGTGTTATAAAGAGAGGAAAAAAGGATATTAGGGTGTTGATTGTAGGGGATCAAGGGCCAACAGAGGTAACCTAAGTATCAGGGGGTAGCCGTGTCAGTCTGTATCTACAAAAACAACAAGGAATCTGGTGGCACCTTAAAGATTAACAGATTTATTTGGGCATAAGCTTTTCATCTATTATTGGGAGTGGACTACATCCACCCTGATTGAATTGGCCCTGTCAACACTGGTTC